TTCTTTACATTACTTCACTCTTAGTTCTTATCCTTATCTACAAGGTCACCTCATGATCCAAGATACCAAGGAAACTCACCCATTATACCCTTATCCCCAGCACAGGAAGCAGTAGATGAGAAAGGGACAGGCCTCCTTTTTAAGACACTCATTTTATCATATACCATTGTGTTTAAATCTTACTAGCTGAAACTTAGCCACATGGTAATGTTTAGCTTTATGAAAGTTGTGTCTTTTAGTTGGATGTTATGAAGAAAGAAGGAAAAATGGAATGTTAGATAAGCAACAAAGAGTATCTATCACTAAGGTCTTGTGTTGGAATTTAATGGGTTCCAAACTACATGAGATACTATGCAAGAGACAACAGGTAGAGGTCAAAATAGTACCTTTATAAGAATGACAAAACTGAAACTGAGAAACATAACTACATTTTATGTGTAGCCATGTGTTTCCTAATATGGAACCCTAGAATTAAAAAGACTTACACATGTAGTTATGAAAGTGCTTAACCAGGCAACATCTGCCTCTATTAAATTGGTAGCTTGAAGGAACAAAGCAAATGTTTACTTTCTGCCTGTAGTTCTTTCTCAACAGAATGGGATAGCAGATGAGAGGATGAAGAGGCTCCAGGAGTGTTACTTTGTTAGCAGGAGTGAGAAAGTACTACCCTTCCTCTTCTCCCTTCATGCGATAGCTTCTCCAAAGAGTTGAACAAGTTGCCTGGCACATAGTAAGCCTTCATTGTATGGTGACTATTCTAATACACAATTTGAATAATTCAACTAGCTGCCACCATGTCCTATCATCTGTCCTTTTAATCTTCCCATATATGTTGCTGTTTGAGAAATCACATGCTTTTCTGGGCAATATTTTTTTTTTGATTCATCATGACACGAGATTGATAGTTTTAAGAGGCTTCATTATACCTTTTCGGATAATAGTTTTAAGTCGTTGTGAGGTTAAAGTGTCTTGTAAATCTAATGAAACATATATACAGCATAAATTATAGATGTGATTTTTGGGCATACATGAACCTTAGGAAAAGAACCCATGGTTTAGATAAAATTTAAATAACTGTAAACACTTATATATCATTGTAAGCTGGTATTAATGACTTAAATAAGCTAAGTAAGGTTAATTAAAAGGAAGGCGGTAGTGGATCATATAAGATCATATAAAATTGTGTTTAAACTCTGACTTTGCACAGCTGGTAGCTTTTTGACCTAAGCCAATTATTAATCTGAGTACAGTATTACCATTTTTTAAAACCAGTGAAATGGTGACAGTAATAGTTCCTGTATCACTAGATTGAGGAAAAAATGAAGTAATGCATACAAAGCATTATTTCTGGGCCAGACACAAAGTATTCAATTGCTATTTGCCGCTGTTGTTTTTGTTGTCATTAATGATTTACTGTGCTTTGCCTTTCTAGTCTTACCCTGCTCGTAAGTGACAAAAGTATCCTGAATTTCATAACTTAGAAATAAAATTATTCTGAGCAAAGAGCTTAATCTTTTACATCTGATTTTTTTAAAACTGAGAATAGTAGTCTTTGTGATTTTTGCTCTTTTTATATTAAGAAACATGATTTTCTTCCTGCTTAGGCTCATCAAAGAGAAGGTCTTTAGTAGGCTCTTCAGAATTTCCAATTATTGTTTGCTTTCTCTTGTCTCATTATAGGCCCATAAGAAAGAGAAAGGTGTCGGTTTCATACTTCTGGCCTCTTGAGAACCTAGTAATGGTATTTGTTTTTTGTCAGAAGTTCCAGGCTATAGTGTTTGAGATCTTGATCTGAGGAAAAGTCCTTAACTTTTCCATTCTTTTTTAATGATACAAGAGGTTGCACAAATATGGTTCCCTTAAGAAGAGCTACAGACCACCCCGCTTTTTTGTGAGCTGGCTTTTGATGGACTACTTCTGTTCAAGTTTATTGTTTTTAAGTTAGTGCCAGTTTACACTACAATTTAACTTTTGCAGTGCATTTCAACACACTTATTACTGTTTTCTTGTGGTTACTTTTTGTAAATTATCTATTTTTTTATGATGTTGAATGACAACTCATTCTGGAAAATTATTCAGAAAATACAGAATTATAAAGAAAATAAAGATCTCTCATAGTTCTACTCTGCCTAACTAGTCACTTTTACTTTTTTGTGATTCCATGTAGGCCCTTTTTTATAGTTGAATATAGGGTAAAATTTTTATTTTCCCCCAAAGTGCAGTGTGCCTGCTGTATATACTGTTTTATATTCTGCTTTTTTCCTACTGTGAGTGCATGTCTGTGTGATTATTTTAAATAGAGATACTCTTCCACTTACAGTAAGTCCATTGTAAGTTGAAAATGTAAGTTGAAATTGTATTTAATGCACCTAATCTGCAGAACATTATAGCTTGGCCACATAGTACATGTACAGTGTGATTGATTACCCTGATGACCTCATGGCTGATTGCCTGCCATTCAAAGAGTGTATCCAGGGAAAAGATCCAAATTCAAACTTTGAGGTGTGGTTTCTACTCATTGCTTATTGCCTTCACAAATATTTTAAAATCACAAAATTGTAAATCAAACCATTGTAAATCAGGGACCATCTGTAGTTGTATACTGTTTTATTGAATGGATATAATTTAACCACTTCCCTCTAGTTGTTTATAACTTTTTAATAATTTAGTCACATGTCAATATGTTCCTACATCAATTTTTTGAGTGCTTGTGCTACTGTTTTTTTTTTTTAAATTTCTTTAAATTTTCTTTTTATTTTGAAGAGTAAAAGAAGGATAATATAATAGGGGGGCTTACCAAATTACAGACAAAGTGGTAGGAAATTATCAATGGTTATTGTTTTACATATTGTTATCTATAAGATAGTTTCTCAGGAAATCAAATAGACAAATAATAGTGAGTTACAGACAAAAGAGGCAGGAGATTATCAATAGTTGTTATACTATACTTTGGTATCTTCAAAGTGGCTTCTAATGAAAATAAATAGAGCTATACATGAGTGACCTATTGAATAATCATTAACTTTTCTCAATAGTTGTTGTAGGAAACACATAATGATAGACATGCATCCATTTACGAAATAGGATAGGAACAATACAAACATTGCAGAGTTATGGATAGATTAGTAGGAAAGTATCAATGGCTTCTGTAATACATGGTGGTATCTTCAAAGTGGTTTCTCAGGAAGACAGAGATACACAAGAAGGAGCTAACAAGTAGTTACAGCCTAAGGGTTGTCAAAAATCAAGTGAACCGTCTGGGGCGAAAGCCAATTTTTGTAGCGTTTTGTCTCCAGACTCCCATCGCATTGGGACCCCACAACCAGTTAGTGTCCTCTCTCCAACTGTCAGCACAGGCAGCAGGAATCCTGCTGCAGACTTCTCTGGAGCTCCACCACAGCCTGTACTGCCAGCGGAAGAATGGCTTCCAGGGAGTCTCCGCAGGTATTGTGCAAGGTCCTCCTGGTTTACAGCTTCCGAGCGGCTCTCATGACCCCAGTCCACAGGACCTCTGACTCCTTAGGGTTAGTCTGCATTCTCGTGTTCTCCAAGTCCTTGTTCAGCAGCTGCTTCTCCGCTGACTCTGGACCTTTTTGGGTCACAATGGGAGGAGCAAGAGTGGCCTGTTGTATGGCATGTATTCCCAGGGGTTTTTCCATGTTTGAATGATTCATACACGTCTGTGGGTGGGCATCTGCAGCCAGTGCATGGTGGGCCAATTGTGTCATTGTTTCTCTGTGTCATGGTAGTTCTCAATTGAGCGGCGGCAGCCGGCCTCAGGGCTGGCGCGCAAGGGCACTCCCTGCCCGTGGCTCCTCCTGCGCTGGGGGCCCTCCCTCTGGGGGCCTAGGAGGCAGGGAGCGAGCTGGTCGGAAGATCGGTGCTCCCTGCCTGTGGCTCCCCTTGCACCTGGGCCCCTCCTTCCGGGCGCCTACAAGGCAGGATGCGAGCCGGCTGGAAGACCGGCACTCCCCGCCCATGGCTCCCAGTGCGCCAGAGACCCTCCCTCCGGGGGCCTAGGAGGCAGGATGCGAACCGGCCAGAAGACTGGCTCTCCCCGCCCGTGGCTCCCCGTGCACGGGGGCCCTCCTTCCGGGGCCTACGAAGCAGGGAGCGAGCCAGTCAGAAGACCGGTTGTGCCCCCTCCCCGCCCCCGTGGCTCCCTGTGCGCTGGATGCCCTCCTTCCGGGTGCCTACGAGGCAGGGAGGGAGCTGGCTGGAAGACCAGTGCTCCCTGCCCGTGGCTCCCCGTGAGCCTCTTGTGCTACTGTTTTTAAATGCATTTTTTTAGAGGTTGAATTAGTGGGTCAGCTGGCTCTGAAAGTATCCTTTTCTAATCAAATTTGTATATTATTCATTATAATATTTTCTAATATGATAATACCAATATCTGTTTTAATTTCTCTTATTTTGGTTCTTAGAAATTGAACATCTTTTTATATTTTTGGCCGGTTTGCATTTTTCTAAGGTTAATTTTCTGTTTTGTTGTTTATTTCTCTGTGATACGTATATTTCGAAAAGGAACAGAATTTTAGTTCTTGCATTAAATAACAGGTTATGTTTTTTATTTTTTAAAAAGAGTCCTTTGTGGACTGAGTCTCTCACTTAGGTTATTTTCAAATATTAATATAGGAAATTAAGTAACTGGTAAATAAAGCCAAGCTTTTTAGAATTCTTTTGTTATTTAATATATAATTGAAGACATGGAAATCCTTAGTGCTTATTTGCACGCAAAAGTACTGTATCTGATTTGGCTTAGCTGTTTCTTCTTTGCTGACGTTTAGCTCTTGATCATAATATCTTGGTAAGTAAAATGTTATACCTTTACCTATATTTTTACGTATTCTTCTTTTTCATTACTGTTGAAATTAAAAGGAAATGGAAATTATTGATTATAACTCATTTTAGTAAACTGATTTTTTAACATTAGAAGAAATGTGCTTTGGAAATAATTCTTCTGTGTGATAATGGGCATGTTGTTTTTTCTTTATTGCTTTTAGAAGAAAAACGACAGTGAAGACATTATGTATTTATGCAGACTACAAGTCTGATGAAAGCTACACGCCAAGCAAGATCTCAGTCAGAGTAGGAAATAATTTTCATAATCTTCAAGAAATTCGGGTATGTCTTTTAAATTTTTAAAAATATGTCGTCCTTTAACTCTTGCTCTTTAGAAAATAGTTCCAGTTGCCATTTGATTAGATTAAAATGTTAGCATATTAAAGGAAGTTTTTTGATAAAGAAGAAAACAAGTTTGTATTTTTTATTTTTGTTTTGAATTCTGATTATCATTTGTATTTTCCCCAATATTTTATTATGGAAATTTTTGGACACAGAAAATTAAAGAATTGTACAGTGAATCCTATTGTAGTTATCTTTTGGATTTTTCAGTTAATGTTTTGCTATATTTGCATTAAAATCTGTTAATCGCACATTTTATGCATTTCAAAATAAGTTGCAGGTATTTGTATATTTCACCCCAAATACTTCAGCTGAGTACATTAGTAGCACTCTGTGTATTTTTAAGGTAAAACTTATGTAGTTTTACACAAATTTTATTTAGATTATTTAGTGAGTTTTGACAGATAAATACATCTGTGTAACCCAACTCTAAGATATAGAACGTTTCCACCGCCCTAGAAAATTCTCTCATATCCCTTTCCAATCTGTCTATACTTCCACCCTACTATCTGAGGTAACTGTTGTTACGGTTTCACTTACTCATTTCTGTAGATCATTTTTTTCTGTTCTAGAATGTCATAGGTGGAACCGTACAGGAAATAACTTTTATGTAAGAGTTCCTTTATTCAGCCTAATTTTGGGGGGTTCATCATGTGTGGCATGTATTAGCACCTTATTCTCTTTTATTTCTGAGCTGTATTCCCTGTTTTAATATACCACCAATTATTTTAGATGTAACTTGTTGACGTTATTAGGACAGTGTTTTTGTCACCTGAATTTTACTAGTCTCCCAATAGTGGCATTTCAGAAATATTGTCAGTGACTTTGAATTGTGTTCTTGTGAAACTCTGGTTTTTAGCATTTTTGCCAGAAAAATTATTAAACCAAAGTAATCATTAAAACCCGTGGTTCTGAGGGATCTGGAAAGATTAAGTGATATTTGGAAGACGTCTAGTTAATTTGTGACATAGACTCTTAGTTGACTTAGTGCTTATATTAAGATTGTGTTTCTACATTTATATTTCTTATTTGAGTTAGTAATAAACTACTTCATGAAAATCACAAGTACTATCATTCATAGTTTAGGTACATTGAATCATCTTTGCATACCTGGGATAAATTCCACGTGATCATGGTCAGTGTTCCTTCTAATGTGCTGTGGAACACAGTTTGCTAGTGTTTTATTGAGGAGGTTTTGCGTGTAGTTTTCAGGGGTGTTGGCCTATAATTTTTTTTCTTGTACTCTCCTTGTCTCACTTTGGTATCAGGGTAATGCTTGCCTCATAAAATGAATGTAGAAGTATTCTGTCTTCCTTACTGTATTAGTTTTCCCATCTCTGTGAAATAATACCCACCACACACATCTTGATGAAAGAAAGGTTTAATTTGGCATACAGTTTCAGGACATTTAGTCTATGATTGGTTGGCTCCAAGGCAGAAACATCATGGTGGAGGAGAGTGGCAGAGAAAAGCTGCCCAGTTCATGGGCAGGAAACAGAAGAGGGGAACAGTGCCAAAGAATAAGGGGTCAGTGACTGTACACACCCAAAGTCACACTTCTATGACACCCCCAGTGTATGCTTTTCTAATCGTCTGGCAACTCCCAAGTTAATCAAGTTGGCACAGTGGAGCCTAACTCTCACAATCAGTTTTTTTTTTAAGGAGTTTAAGAAGGATAATTAGTCATTCATTTAAAAATATTTGATACATCAGCAGTGAAGCTATCAGGTCTTGGGCATTCTTTGATGGGAGACTTTTTATTACTCATTCAGTTTTCTTGCTCATTAGTGGTTTGTTGGGATTTTTCTATTTCTTTATAACTTAGCGTAGTTAGGTAGATAGTAAGTTTCTTTTATCCTTTTCTTCTAGGTTGTCTAATTTGTTGTGAAATTGTAGTTTCTTATGATCTTGTGTGTTTCTGTGCTAATGGCTCCTTTTTAGTTTTGATTATCTTTTCAAAGAACACTTCTTAGTTTTGTTGATGTTTTCTGTTTTTTAAGCTTATTTTTTGTTTATTTCTGTCCTATTATTATTTGCTTCCTTTCAATGTCAAGCTTTGTTTCTTCTTTTTCTATTTCTTTGAAGAATAAAATGAGGTTGTTTATTTGAAAACTTTGTTATAGGAGTTTATTGCTATGAATTTTCTCATTAGAACTACTTTTGATGCATCCCATAAGTTTTGGTATATTGTATTTTCATTCTCATTTGTCTTGAGATATTTTAAAAATTTCCATTTCTTCTTTGTTCTATTGGTTGTTTAGGAGCATGCTGTTTAATTTCCATGTATTTGTGAATTTTATGAAATTTCTCCTATTTTAAATTTCATATAATTATAGTAAGAAAAGGTACTTTTATGATTTCAGTTTTCTTAAATTTATTAAACTTGATTTGGGTTTCAACATATCTGTTTTGGAGAATGTTTCTTGTGTGCTTGATAAGAACATATATTTTGCTATTACATGAAATGTTCTATGTATGTGTTAGGTCTCCCTGGTTTAAAATGTAGTATAAGTATAATGTTTCCTTACTGATTTTCTTCCTCAGTGACTGTCAGTTGCTGAACTGTAGTACTGTATTGAAGTCTACTACTATTACTGTATTATAGGCTATCTGTCCAGTTCATTTAATATTTATTTTATGTATTAGATGCTAGAATGTGTGTGTGTATATATATAGACACACATATGTATACATAAAATACATATGTATAATTGTCAAGTCTGCTTTCTAGATTCATCCCTTATTACCTAATGACCTTTGTCTCTTTTCACAATTTTTGACTTAAAATCTATTTTATCTGCAAAAAGTGTAGTGTCCTTCTGCTCTCTTTTGTTGAGAATATTCTCTTTTTTTTGCTCTCATTTGCATAGAATATCTTTTTTCCTTCCCTTCACTTTGTATATCCTCAAATGTGAAGTGAGACTCTTACAGACAATATGTGGTGGGCTGTTTATGCATCATCTATTTTATGTCCTTTGATTTAAGAACTTTATCTACACTCAATATAATTATTGGTAGGTAAGGACTTGATATTGCCATTCTGTTCATTTTTTCTTGTTTGTTTGTATTTTACTTTGGAGACAAAGTCTGTTATGTAGTTCAGGCTGGCTTTGAACTCACTGTATAGCCTCGGCTAGCTTCAAACTCACAGTGATCCTCCTGTCTCAGCCTCCTGGATGCTAGGATTACAGGTGTGTGCCATCAGACCAAGTTTGTGTATTGTGTTTTGGTTATTTTGTTGTTCCTCTGTTCCTTGTCTGTCTTTATGATTAGGTAATTTTCCATAGTGATATGCTTTGAGCCTTCCATCTTATCTTTTGTGTTTGTTTGTTAACCTTCATACAAAAGATACAAATGTTATACACCAGTATTACAGTATCATAGTATTCTGAGTTTGATCATGTATTTACTTTGCCACTAAATTTTATAGTTGTAATACATTTTTGTGTTACTAATTAGCATCCTTTTCTTTCAACTGGAAAAATTTCCTTTAGCATTTATTAGACAGATCTGTTAGTGATAAGCTCCCTCAGCTTTTTGGGAGAAATGTTTTGATTTTTCCTCTGTCTGAAGGGCAGCTCTTTTAGGTGCAGTATTCTTGGCTGGCAGTTTTTTCTTTAGCACTTTGGACATGTCATCACACTTTCCCCAGGTCTGTGTGTTTCTGCTGCTAGTGTTATTAAAACTCTTCCATATATGTTTTGTTTTGTTTCTCTTTCTGCTTCCAGGATCCTCTCTTTGTCCTTGATTTTGGATAATTTGATTATTTCTTGGTATCATCTTGTTTGGACTTAATTTGAGTAGAGTTCTTTGACCTTTGTGTGCCTGGATATTTGTGTTTTCTCAGATTTGAAAAGTTTTTTTGCTATTAATTCTTTAATTAATCTTATTTCTTTAAATAAGCCATATCTCTTTCGTCACCTTCTTGAACTCCCCTAATGCAAAAATTTGTCCTTTTGATCCTGCCTCATAAATCCTATAAGCATTCTTTATTGCTTTTCATTCTTTCTTCTCCTTTGACTATATTTTCAAATAACCTGTCTTTGAGTAGAGATTCTTCTGATTGGGCAGTTCTGTTTTCCTTTGATTTATTTTTTTTCCTTTTATTTTTTTCCTTCCTTTTATTTTTTTCCTTCTGTTTGCTCTTTTGCATTTTAAAATTTCACTCATTTTTAGATCCAGAATTTGTTTTATTTGTAAAAACAATATCAATGCATTTAAATTTCCAATTTTGATCATTTATTTCCTTTCAAAGTATTTCTCTATTTTCTTGAAGTTTATTGAGCTTAAAGTTCTTAAAACAGTTACCTTGAATTCATTATCAGGTAGTTCATGAGTGTCCATTTCTTTAGAGGTATTAATTGGTACTTTATTTTGTTCCCTTGAGGGTAATGTTTCCCTAATTTTTCTTCATTCTTATGGCCGTATTTTATTGCCTTTGTATGTGAACAAGTAGGAATTTATCCCCTTTTTTGTAGATGTGCTTTGTCTGGGAAAGCTCATCACCAGTAGGACCTTCAGAGATTCTGAGAGTTTGGTGTGGGCCATTGATGGACTTCTGGCTGGAGCCTCTGGTAGGCTGGCCTGGTATCTGGATCTGAAAAGCTGGACTTGTGGCCTGAGTCCCTGAGTGCAATGTTAGAGCCTTTTTCTGTTAGGACAGGCTGAAGCCAGTGTCTGTGGAGGATGATTTGGCTTTGGGGTAGCCTTGATCCTGAGTTTTCCGGGGCCTTCCAAGTGCTGAGATGGGCCTGAGTCTGCTGGAATAGGCCTAGACTCTACGTCTATGGAGGCTGGCTTATTGCTGACATAGACCTGTAGCCTGAGCCCATGGGAATAGACTTGGATGCTGAGTCTGTAGGAGCTTGCTTGGGGGCATTCTGAAGGCATCAGGGATAATTAGGGTGGACTTAGGCCTGGGGTCTGGTAGAGCAGACCTG